CTCCCACCCAATCAGCTCAAACCCCACTGGCAGTTAAAAGGAAGAAACAGCTGCGATCGCACACTATTCCCAGAAGCACGAAGCTGAAGACACCAGCCTGAAGATGACGAATGTGACTTCGTCGAAACGTCGCCAGGACACTTCCAATTTTACGCGGGAGAGAACCCGAATGACCAAAGACCTACATACAAACACCCGCAAAAACCTCAGAAAACAGATATATAAATATAGATATATACACATCCATACATATATACATACATACATACATAAAAAGTGGTAACAAATTTTGAGTTCTTTCAATATTTACCCATAAAATTTTCTATAGAACTATCTCATTACAGAATCTAATGCCAAATCTTTGTACCCAAATGAAATTATGCTTGGACTAATAGCAATTACTCAACTTCAAGGGAAAGAAAAAGTCTGCCAGAAAAGAACATATTTCATTGTTGCTCTAACAGGGGGTTGGACTAGATGACCTCTAAGATCCCTTCCAACATTATTATTATTATTATTATTATTATTATTATTATTATTATTATTGTTGTTGTTGTTGTTGTTGTTGTTGTTGTTGTTGTTGTTGTTGTTGTTGTTACAGGATTAGATTTGGCATCAAAAGTATGATCCAAGGCAAAAAGTACAATCCCAGATGCAAATGGGAGAGTGAAATGTAAAATGGCAGATTCTCTAGCATATTTTAAATTTAACCATATTCTAAATTACACCAAATAGACTTGAGAGATGAAAGAGCCAAGATTACTTTCCTTCATCTACACAGATATTTGGGGAACTGGGGATATGTATAAGGGCTGCTCTCTCCAAAGACCCAAGGAACTTTGGATGATTCAGAACTGAAACCATTTCATTCCATTAATTTCATCTCAAAGAACGCCACATTTGGGGCCTACAGCTATGGAAGCACAACCAGCATCACAGTTATGCCTGCTGAACTTTGGGTAAGCACATGAACTACACTGACTGCAAATTTTAAGAACTGTAATCTCAAAACATTTGAAATTGAAGGATAAACTAGATAGTGATAGACTAAGAAACTATCCATACCTTCACATAACTATTCTGGCAATGTCCATTGTTATCTGGAATCTCAAAATTCTGATCAAAGATTATTTCAAAATGTTTGCTCTCATGGGTAATTATTGTCCATGAGCACCTGGTGTTATTGGGAAAGTTTTCTGGCCAATAAGGAGAAGTTATGATACCTAGGACACACCATCTACCAGAAGAAAACACACACAAACCGCTATCTGCACGCACTCTCACACCATCACCCAGCACAGATCAACTCCGTAGCCAAGACACTCATCTCCAGAACAAAACGCTTAGCTGATGAACAACACCTAAAAACCGAACTACACACTCTCACTAACGTACTAACATCCAACGGATTCCAAAGAAAT